GTTTGGGGGCATCTTCGGGCCCCGCGACCGTCATCAAGCAACCCAAGGTTTGGTATGTCGAATCCCATCGCCCAAGGAGAACATTTGGTCAGGGCACTACTGCCCCAACGCGGATGTTCGTCGGGGCACCGTTGCCCTGACGAGGTCATCATGCATCGTGCCGTTTTCGGCGTCGTCGTCGGAAACATCGCCGTCGCCACAGCCATCTTCATCACGACATAATCTCCCAATATGGTTTGCATGAACATCGTTCTGCATTCCTAAACATCACCATCGTGCCTGCGCTGTGGGTATGAACGAGGAGGGGAAGAGGAGGAAGGGGAGGAGAAGGAGGTGGAGGTGGAGGTGGGGGAGGACGAGGCGGTGGTGCAAGGGGCAGCTCCTGGCGAGCGTCCAGCGCACTCCCCGGGCGCCTTGCCGCCACGGGCCATCCTGGCGATCCCTACACCTTGGGCGATGCTTGAGAAAACTTAAGTTTTCGGCCAGAGTCTCGATTATTCTTAACGTTTCAATGTAAATCTTAAGATTTTAATGGAAATGTTGGGTTTTTATTCAAGTTTTGAGACTATGAATTTCTTAACCCATGATTTCTAAAGCATTTCGCAAGGTGTATGAAAGCTGCGAGGGGTGCTTAACCTCGGGGGCCCGCAAACGGTATGGTGACCACACCGCGTGGTGAATCAGTGGGGGTGCGGGGTCACCGCACGGCTTTGTGACGCGATGGGCGGGATCCCAACGGGACGGGCGAGATCCCAACAAGACGGGTCAGATCCCAACGGTCCAGGAAATTGGAAAGGGTGAGATCCCAGCGGGCGCGAACATTTTGTTTGAAGCTGTACTTCCGTTACCATGAGAGCAGCGAAAACATCATGGCACCCGTTACGGGAGTTGTTACGGTTCTCATCGTGCGCAGTTGGGATATCATCTGTCCGAGTGCCGTATGCGATTGAAGCCGAAGTGTTCAAAAACGGCCAAGGACGGCTGCAAGATGATCCAATACGGCCTCAAGATGGCTCAAGGGGGCCCTGGTACAGCTCCACCAGACGTTCCAGGAAGGTCCGAACAAACCACAATCGCAGACCCTCCCAAAATCATCCTTCTGGCATTTTTCAGGCATCAAGCAGAATGCTTCACCAAACCCTCAGGGGCCCTTTCCGGAATCCTTCGGAATCATTCAGAGTTTCCTCGGGAATCTGCAGGGATCCAGAGGAGTCCTTAAAGGATACGCAGGAATCATTTTGGAAGCTTCACGAATCCCATAGGATCCCTCACGAATCCTTCTGTGGAATCTGGAGGAACCCTTCGGGAACTCTTCTTCAGGGGCCCTCAGGATGCTGCAGGAATGTGAAAGAATATTTGCACGACCCCCGCGGGCCTGGACTCCGCAGGGATTCTCAGGAATCCCGCGGGGATCTACAGGAACGCGATCGGATCCCTCGCGGATTCATCAGGAGCCCACACGAAGTCTTCAGGGACCTTGCCGGAGTCCCTGAGCAGTCTGCAAACACCCTCACGCCCTCACAACATCCTCAGGAAATCTGGGGAATACCTCCGGAATCTGAAGGAATCGTTTGGACCCTTGCAGGAATTCGCAGGAAACCTCAGGAGTCCTCGAGGAGTCTGAAGAGTTGCCAATAATCGTCACGAGGACAATAGTAATCCTCGCAAAACACTTGGGGATGTGCAGGCATCCTTCAGGAATCGCTCAGGAATCGAAGCTCGCAGGAATTAACAGGAAGCTTCCATGCGCCTACGAGGCGCCAGTAGGGCGCCTATAAGGCGCGCACATGAGCAACATACATGCATACATACATACGTACAGCCATGCATACACACAGACATACATACAAACATCGATTCATACATACATACATACATACATACATACATACATACATACATACATACGTACGTGTATGAATGCATGCATATGTTTGTTTATAGCGTGCATGCGTGTACACGCATACATGCATACGTGCATACATGCGTGCATGCATGAATGCATGTCTACATATAACTATGCGTACATACATCTATACACATGCATGCACACATGTATACCGTCATTGATGCATCTGTGCATACAGGCATGCAAACACGCACACACACACACACATACATGTATATATGTGTGCATACCTACATACATGCATACATACGTGCATGCATACATACATGTATGCATACATGCATGCATGCATACAGACATACAGATATATAATGCATGCACACCTACCTATATACATACATGCATACACGCAAGTATATATATATATAAATAAATATGCATGCATTTGAATACACATATATATATATATATGTATATACATAGTCATATGTATGTGCATGTGTACGTTCATACGTAAGACGGCGAAATGTTTCATGCAGTCTCCAGAAAGCCTCGTTGGGATTGCACCCGCCCAGCTGTTCATACCCGTTGGGATCTCTCCCTTATTGTTGGGATCTCAACCGGTTCGTTGAGCTCTCACGATTTCTCCCGCGATTTTGGTCATTATCCAACGACGTCTTAGGCGACTAAGGCATTCGAGGTTTTAAAACCGTGCGGTAGCGTACAACGCGGTGAAGTCGTTGGGGATTTCGAGAGCACCAGGCGGTCCGTCACCACACGGATTTGGGGTCCCTAAGAGTCGTTGGCAAACCGTCGCGCCCCTTGCACACGTCGTATAATATGATAGTTTAGCGTACTGCTTGGGATCGCCCCGACCGCCTTCTCACACATACTATGGCAGTGTCGGCCGCGGAGCGTTCATGGTGTTTCATTGTCTCATGTCGAGTGTCTGCGTGGGGAGCTTCCCTTCCAAGCCAGGCATTGTCACAGCGCGGTGTGTGTGTACAGTTGCCGCGAAGCGTGCATCCTTGGGGATCAGTGCGCGTCATGCTTCGTAGGAAACTCCGTAGCAGTAGGCGGAGAGGGTGCTCAGGGGCACATCGCGCCGCCGACAGGAGCCTGTGCGGGGGCATCGACAGCGGGGACCTCAAGAGGGTCGACCTCGCGTTCTTCTCGAAGCTCGTGAACGACAGGTCTCGCAGCCTGGACGGCGCTCTTCCCTCGCGTCGGCGAGGCCCCATGCAGTCAAGACGCTGAGCTGAGGACCACGTTGGGCTCAGGAGGTGCTCTGTTCCGCGCCGCTCCTGAGATCTAGGTCGAGGGACCTGTTTGCGGCCGAGGGCCGCCGTGGCCAGAAAAGCTCAATCGTTCTTCATGCGGCGTCTCTTGTGGTAGCGCGATGCCTGTAGCGCGGACGCCGTTCTTCCTCCGTGCTGGCGAGGCTCACTAGGAGCGAGCAACGAGGATGTTGTCAGCTCGAAGGCTCGAGGTCTTTCAGAACCCTGGTAGACGTGCCCCCTGGTCGCTGGCTCCTGTGCGAACAGACCCTTCCAGAGTCCTCTACAAAGCTTACACATTATTCATTTCTAAGTATTCGACAACTCTTCGATTCTTTGGGGTGCCAAGATCCTTTCATTTCTGATTGTTCTATGCTGGGCCTCTTCCTGGCCACTAGGGGGCAAGGAACAATTAGAAACGAGCACAATTAGAAACGAGCACGATTGGAAATGAAGGACGTGCACCCTGTTGCTTAGGATCTGCCGCGACACCCAGCACATCATTCGGACTCGCTAGCTCCCACGGCCGACCCGTCCGTGCCAGGCCTGCTCGAATCGTGCATTCGTCTTAGACCCCTCCTCAAAACAACGCCTGGGGTGGTCTTAGAGCCCTGCTGGGCTCAAATCGAAGAAGAAATCAGCACATAAACATAAACGTTCGGCGCTCTGCACGGATTTCTCGGATCCGAGCCGGGGCCCCCTGGCGGCGCCTCCGGCGCCGCCACTGGCGCGCTCGGCGCGCCAGGGAGGGGGGCCCAGCGCAAATCCAAGAGATCCGCGCGGACCGTCGAAAGTTTACGTTTATGTGTTTTTTCCTTCCTCTATCAAAGGCCCTGCCCTCCCCACCGTAGCCATTTTGGCTCAAGTGTTTTTTCGGCTCAAGGTGTTTGGGAGGCGGGGCAGATGCACGGGTGAGGCGCGAGAGGGGTGGCGCGCCGACCCTGCCCAGCGATGTATGGCGACCTCATGTCGCCGCCCGGCGGCCTCGCGGAGGACGACTCCGATGACGGGGACCTCCCCCCCGACATGGGGCTGCCCCTGGGCTCTGTGCTCCCCGATGGAATTTTGAAGGAGATCATCAACGAGGCAGACCCCGACAATTGGAAGATGCCGAAGTCTGGCGACGAGGTGACGGTCCACTACGTCGGCAAATTGGCGTCCGACGGATCGGTTTTTGACTCGTCGAGAGCCAGGCAGACGCCGTTCGTCTTCACCCTTGGCAAGGGAGACGTGATCGCAGGCTGGGACAAGGCCCTCGCCACGATGAGGAGGGGCGAGCTCGCCACGTTCAGGGTTTCCCCAGAGTTCGCCTACGGGGCCACAGGCCAGCCGCCCAAGATCCCAGAGGATGCCACCCTAATCTTTGAGATCGAGCTGCTGTCCTTCGTCGCCAAGGACGACCTCTTCGGGGATGGTTGCGTGATCAAGACAGTGTTAGCGGAGGGCACCGGGTGGAAGCAGCCTAAGCTCGACGATGAGGTGTTCATTGATGTGCAGGTCACCGCGGCGGCGGGAGGGCCCGCGAAGGACTGGGCCGGCCTGGAGTACAGGCTGGGCGCCAGCGCCCTCGGGCCGCTGGGCAGGGCATGCGACGCCGCCCTGAAGGGCATGAAGAAGGGCGAGGAGGCCCTGTTGAGGTGTACCAAAGATTATTCATGTGAAGATTGGTCCGATGGCGTGGAGGTGACCATCAAGTTGCGGGAGATTTGCGAGACGCGCGACATCTCCTTCAGGAAAGACGGTACCGTCCTCAAGAAGCGAACTCGAGAAGGCGAGGGTCATTCCACACCGACGGAGGCTTCGAAGGTGACACTGAGTGTGGACGACGCGCGGCAAGCTGACGCGCTGATCCCGGGCTTTGTGAGCCAGGTGCTGGAGTTCACCCTCGGCAACGGGGAGGTGTGCGACGCGCTCGAGTGCGCGGCCGCGCACATGAAGAGGCTCGAGCGGGCGACGCTGACCGTGGCGCGCCCAGCGCTGGCCGCGGAGGCGAACCTGGGCCTGAGGGACGTTGGCGCGGGTGGCGAGTCGATCGTCCTCAAGCTCGAGATGAAGGAGTTCGAGAATGGTAAGGAGACGTGGGACATGTCGGACGAGGAGCGGCTGAAGTTCTGCGGCGAGCGGAAGGCCGTGGGGACCTCGCTCTTCAAGGCGGGCAGACTGGACCTGGCCCTCGGGCGCTACAAGAAGGTCGGTGATGTATTCACATACATCGACAATTACCCTGAAGACGTCAAGGCAAAGGCACGGGAATTGAAGCAGGCATGCGAGCTGAATAAGGCTATGTGTTATTTGAGAATTAACGAGTATGACGAGGCCAAGGCTGCTTGCAACATTGTGTTGCGAGACGACAAAGGCAACGTGAAGGCCCTCTACAGGCGGGCCCAGTGCGAGCACGCGCTCCACAATTTCGAGGAGTGCATCAGGGACTGCAGGTGTGCGGCCGAGGTGGACCCGCAGAACCGGGAAGTCAGGGCCCTGCTGAAGCAGGCCATGGAGGGCCAGAAGGAGGTGAACAGACAGGCGAAGGGGATGTACGCGAACATGGTGAATGGTTTGGGCAAGCAGCAGGCGGACGAGCAAGTCCTCAGGCCGAACGGCGCGTCCGCCTCGGAGCCCGGCAGCACCGCGAGGGCCGCGCCCCGGGCGAGTGTTTCCGCAGTGCAACCGTATTCGCTTGGGCGGCTTTTTGCGAGTCTGGCCGCGGGCCTGTGGGGCGCCGGGTGCGGGCTGCTCTCGCTGCTCGGGCTCGGGGGCCTCGCCAGATTCTTCGGCGCCGCGGCACCCGGCGACGGGCCCGCCTCGGTTGCAGGCGCCCCGAGGGGCACCCCGCCACCGCCGTGGGGCGCCGCCGACGCGACGGCGCAGGTGGACGCTCGAGCCGCCGGCCGAGAGTGAGGCGTCAGTCGACGTGTGCTGGTGAGCGGCGAGCTGCCACCCTTTTTATGTTGCAGGGTGCCGATCGCGCCAAGAGCGACCGCGGGGCTTCGCGGGGGCGGGCGGGGGGGGGACCGTTTGGAGCGGGCAGGGAGGGAAGGCCCAATGATGGCGAAGGCCATGCGGTTTCATATTTTTACCGAATCGCTGGATGTCCAGACCCAGCTCGGGCCTCGCGCCCAACGCGCCTGGCGCGCGCGCGTTCGGAGAGCACCCGCGGGCCACAGACTTCGGCGACGGCCCGCTCAAAAAAAAAGGCCCTGCCCTCCCCGTCGACGACAGCTGCAGGCCGGGTGCCCGACGCCTTCCTTTTCGATGGCCCCCCTTTTGGAGCCTCGGCATCTCTCGTGGCTGACTCTGCTGGGAAGCCTTCGTCGAGGGGCCGGCGAGGTGGGGGGGGATCACTCAAGCAGTGGCGAAGCGTCTTGGTGTGCCTCTAGGCCTACCAAACAATGTTCTAAGAACCTTTTGTGGATTCCACGCAGTGTTCTTAGAACATTTCTGGTCGGGACTGTCCTGTTAAAACGCATTGGGTTCATGTTCTGAGAACCATGTTTTTGTTATTGGAACACTTCGGGGTTCTAAGAAAATTTCGTGGTAGGCCTAAAGACATGCCGGGACGGTCGGTCCCTGCTCAAATCACTGGCAACGTTTCGGAAGGCAAACAAAAATCGAGAGCGCTTCGGGAGGCAGTCCAGACGCAGAGGTGCCAGTGCCACACCTGACCGATTAGATGGCAAACTGGCGCTATAGGTCTGACAGATCGGCTGGCACGATGGACCGACGTACAGTCGAGACTGATTAGTGGGTCGACCCTGCCAAATCAAGGGTACTCCTGTGTCCTGAGCTTCACGACCCACGTCTTCCTACATTCCTATGGCAGTGTGGCCCTCGGAAGGGTCTTGTGTCGTCTCGCGTGCCTCTCCAATCAGTCCCGACTGTGTAGGAGGAGGCGCCGCAAGAGGAGGAAATGGGGGAGGGGGCGGAGGAGGGCCATGGGGAGGCGAGGTCAGGCACGCATGCTCCTTTCCGTTCGTGCGGCCTCGTGGGCAGGGCGTACAGTCAAAAAACCCTAATAAGGACGCGCGACTTTGCTCAGGGTACCCTTGCGTCCTTGCTCTTCCTTGCTCTTGCGTCCTCGAGGTTTTCGTCGTCAGCCGCCCCAAAAATCCCAACTTCGATCTCCAAGGGTCTTGCGTCCTTACCGCGCGTCCTTATTATGGTTTTTGACTGTAGTTTGGTTGGGGGGGGAGCCGTGGGGAGGGGAGCCGCCGTGAGTAGCTACAGGCGGCAGTTGACCTCATGAGGCAATAGCTGTGACCCGCGAGCAGCGTCACGTAATGTGTATGAGCTTTGGGCAGTCCTGCGTCACCTCGGACTTCCATGCATGGGCTATAGGCAGGATGCACCCTGACCTGGTAGGAGGTGAGGATCATGGGTGGGAGCTTGTGTCGTCGCTTGTCACGTTTCTTGCCCCCTCGCACTCTGATTCCGCCCTTCCCCATTCCCTCGCCGTCGCCGCTTTCCCGCGTCCTTGCCCGGCGGTGGCATCGGGCACCTAGCTCCCCGACCTCATCCTCATCTTCTTCCACCTCGGCCTTCCCTGCTCCTTCCTCCGTGCTTCCCCGTATCCCCCCACCCCACCTCCTACTCATGCGCTTGCCCCTGCCCTCATCATCATCATCATCATCATCATCATCATCATCATCATCATCATCAGCATCATCATCATCATCATCATCATCATCATCATCATCATCATCATCAAGGCATCATCATCATCATCAGCAGCAGCATCATCATCCTCTTCTGCTCCTTCTTCCCCCCCCCGCCTCCTGGTCCGCCTCCTCCTCCTCATCCTCCTCCTCCACTTCCCCGTCAGCGCAAACACCCATGAGGCGTAAGATAGCGATCGTTTTCTGCTTCATTGTTTTGCCGATCGGCGCGGGCCCTCGCACCCCCTAACCCCCCCCCATGGAGTAGATCTTGGCTGTTTTGGGCGCCTGTCTCAAGCAGGTGGAGCCCCTCCCCCACAGGACGCACTGTTGCAAACAGTCGCATTCAGCAGAGGTCCGGAGCCAGACCCCCTCCCCTGCCCCCCTTCCGCCCAATGTCGAAACGCCGAACAAGAGAACTAAAACGACGCGACGATCGGGACAAAATCGGATCGGGATAACTCGAAATCTCTGAGAATCGGCGGGTTTGGAGGATGTATCGGGCGCCGCGGCCGCTCCAGAGCGTTCCGGAACGCTCTGAGAGCGCTCTGGAATTCTCTGGAGCGACTTATCCCGATCCTAGCCCTGTTTTAAGAACGTACACATGGCGAGGCAGCTTTCTTGGAATCCGGTGCCCTTGCCCGAGAGATCCGAGGAAGCGACCTCTGAGCCAAAGGCCGCCGATCTCGGCACCGCGATGCCAGCCAGGAGCCCCCAAGGCGTTCCGAAGAGGTCCTCGCCTCGGGAGTGTGGAGGGGTCGGCCCCTCGCCCTCGGCGGAGGCTGGCAGAAGGCGAGCATCGGTGGCCACGCTGTCGGGTCGGGCGAAAGGGGGGGATTGGGAAAGGGGGGGGTACGAAGTTTGCTGCATGCAGCTGGTTTCGGCCTCACCGAGGGGCCCATTCCTCGATACATAGCTCCATCCGGCGCCGGGAGGCGCCGGGAAAATCAGCTACGTGGGCTGATTCTCAAACCCCCCCTTTGCTATCCCCCCCTTTCGCCCGACCCGACGCTGGCAGAAGCTCGGCGGAAGCCAGAGGAAGCAGAGGAAAGGGGGCGGGGCTGGGGCACGAAGATACCCACCTGCCTTTGCTCGCTCCTCGTCGGGCTTTTCTGGTTCAGCACAGTGCCTATACCAGCGCCGTTCGCAGGGTATTCTACAGCCCCACGCGAGACCTCCTGCGCCGAAGGGTCATTGGGTGCACAGTTCCGTTTTTAATACATGCTCCGCGTGCGGATCATGTATTAACAATGCAGGGATTTAAGTACTAAAAACAACGATGAGTTCATGCATAAATTCACTGAAAAGTTAATCATGTATTAAAATACCACATGTTTACAAGTCCTGTGTATGAAAAACTGCCCTGTAGTTCGCGTGTGTAGAAGCAAAGGAAGCAGAGGAAGACCTCCCCAGAGAGAGGCCCACGGCAGCGGCCCCCGGGGCATCTCCGGAGTCGACCAGGGCCCGCCGGCATCTCGGGGGGACGGGGCGTCCACCTCTTGGCGGACGAGGATCGAAGAGGAAAAAAAAAAAAAACACAAACATAAACTGTTGGCGCTCCGCGCGGATTTCTCGGATCCGCGTCTGGGCCCCCCGGCGGCGCCGCCGGCGCCGCCCCTGGCGCGCTCCGCGCGTCAGGGAGGGGGGTCCAGCGCGAATCCAGGAAATCCGCGAGGAGCGCCAAAAGTTTACGTCGATGTGGTTTTTTACATCCTCTAGGACGGCATGAAATTGTGGCTTCCGCCATCGGGGGCGTCTGCCCCGGGGCGGCTGCGAAGTGTGCGCCCCCACCCGCCGCCGCAGGGGGTGCGTGCTTCCCCGCCGCCCTGGGACGGGGGCCCCCGACGGCGGAAAAGCCCACTCGGGGAACGAACAGTGACATAGACATAAGTCAGGCGATCGCGAACGAACAATGACATAAACATAAACAATCAAGGGGGGGTGGATTAGCGACGGGCCCCGTCTCCGTAGGAATCGCGGACTTCCGCCGCCGAGCGAGGCGGCACCGGTCGCATTTTGGGGAGGGCACCTCCCTCGATCCGTAGACTCGGCGACCGCGCTCCAAATCCATGGATCGCTCATCCATGTCTGCGCGCCCCCGAAGCACGGGGGCCGGGGCGCCCACCTCTTGGCGGACGAAGGACGGCATGAAGTAGTGGCTTCCGGCATCGGGGGCGTCTGTCCCAGGGCGGCTCCGAAGTGTGTGCCCCCCCGCCCGCCACCGCAGGGGGTATATGCGCTTCCCCGCCGCCCTGGGACGGGGGTCCCCGACGGCGGAAAAGCCTATCAGGGTTAAGTCGGGCCTGTCTCTGTACAGAAGGGATACTCAAAAATAGGCAAAATAATCTGGGGACGATGTGTCTACTATTTTTGACCATTTGGGAATATGTTGGGGGTATGTTTTATTTGTTGTTCAAAATCCCCTTGTAGGGGGACATGCCCGACTCAACATGAGGGGAACGAACAACAACATAAAAAAACTAACTCAGAGGTCCGCGCGGATTTCTCGGATCGGCGCTGGGCCCCCCAGGGCGGCGCCTCCGGCGCCGCCCCTGGAGCGCTCCGCGCGCCAGGGAGGGAAGTCCAGCGCAGATCCAAGAGATCCGCGCGGAGCTCCAAAAGTTAATATTTATGGCGTTGCGTCTTATTATTACTATCACTATTCATTATTATGTGTATGATCCTTATTTATGTTCTTATGAATAGTTTTATTAGCATACCGAGTAGCATTCTTCTTCTCAAACAACATTCATAATAATCGTAGTTTCATTAGTCTTATTATGATTATGAGTATGTTTATTGGTATTGTTCTTCCATCGTTACAGGAGAAGGAACCACTACCACCAGCTCGGGAGGGGGTGGTTTTGAATGGCGGAGCTCTTTTTGCTTTCATGGGCAAGTCCGCCCCAGAGCGTTCCGGAACGCCCTCGGAGCATTCCGGAACGCTCCGAGAAGGCCGAGCCCTTGGGACCTCCAGAGCCGTTCTGGATCTGTAGGGCTTCTCCGAAGGGCTTAGGCGACCCGTCCTCCTCCTCCTCCTCCTCCACCTCCTCCTCCTCCTCGGGTCGCCTACGGCCCTGGGGCAAACCGTGCATCTGGATCTCACAGGTTCTCGACTTACATCCTCACCCGACGCCATCTTCGTCCTGGCCTCCAGGGCCGTTCTGGAGCCCACGGGTTCTCGACGTAGATCCTCCCCTGACGCCCTCCTCGTCCCGGCGTCGCCTCTGAAAGAGAGAGCGCGACGGCAGCCCCGCGGGGTGCGGGGCGCGCAGAGTGGTGGCCCAGGGGGTGGGCCTGGACGGTGTCGTGGCGACTTCGTGGGCCGCTTTCGTTTCGAGGTCGTCTTGCAGCGCAGGCGAACCCAAGACAGGACGAGGGAGAACGAAAAAACAAAACGAAAACGAAAAGCACTGCATAGGTCCAGCCCTGTGGTGGCCCCACGGGCGCTTTTCGCCTCCCCCGCCGCCCCGCTGCCGCCGGCGAGGGCGCCCTCTCCGCCGCGCCCTCTCCGCGCAGGTCGGCCGACACGGGCTGCTACTGCAGCGACGACGAGCTGCACGCCATGCTGACCAGGCCGCGGCCAGACGCGGCCACCCGCGCCGCCGCTCACTTCGGATTCGCTATACACGCTGCTTATTTCTAAGTATTCGAAAGTTCTTTGATGTTGTCCTCCGAGAGTTCTTCGATTTGGGGGGGAGCCGAGATCCTTTCCTTTCTAATTGTTCTAGCCCGGGCCTCTTCCTGGCCACTAGGGGGCCAGGAACAAGTAGAAAGGAGCACAAGTAGAAAGGGGCGCGATGAGAAATGAACGACGTGTGTAAGGTCGAGGTCGGTTCAGGGAGAATACCCTTTGTGCTCTTCGTGCCTGTGGGATGCTCTTGTGCATCCTGGGGGAGGGAGCTACCCTCGAATGCTCCTGTACCGTTGGCTGGCGGGAGGGTCTCCTGTTCTTGAGAGAGAGAGAGAGATGTTCCTGGCCTCGACCCAGCTGCCGTCAGGGCCACCGCTGGCCAAGACCCGGAGGGTGCAGACCCCTTTGGCGCGAGGCCCGTCTCCAGGCTTCCCAAATTCGGAGGTTGACAGGCCTCCTACCCTGACACGTCGATTAGCGAATTGGCCGTTTTCGGTTCGCGAGAGGGCGTCGCGGCCGTCATTTTTGCGGGTCCAGGTCCGTCGGTTTCGGCCCCAGGCCGTTTTCACTAAGGGGAGGTTTGCTAAAGGGAGGTTTGTCCATCGCCGATTAATGGGGTCCGAGCAGAGGGGTCCCACGATCGCGCCGCAGTGCAGGGGCATCGGCGATGCGGCTCGACATGTAGCCCGATCGTCTCCACGCCGACGTCGCCGATGCATCGCCGATGCATCGGCGATGCGGCGCGATTCTCCGACCCCATCTGCTCGGACTTCCTTTGGGAGGCATCTACCACCAGATCGCCAGGAATTGTGTTTCCGTTTCCAAGGCGATTTAAGACCGTCTCGGGCGCAACCCTCGCGAGAGGCAGAGGCGGAGCCGTAAGGGTGTATGTTGTCGGGTCCGTTTTTCGGAGGGAGAATCCTGCACGTGTGCATCCCACGGAGCAGCGGATCCTGCGCCCCCAGGTGGCGGTGGTGGCGGGTCCCCTTCCACATGCCACTCGCCACCGCGTTTGCTGCCGCCGCTCTCCAAGTTGCCAATGCAGACTTCCCCGTGCCCCTCATCGCTGGTCGCCCGGTCCCCGCCTTCCGTCTTGACCACCAACGTCTCCCACTCTTCAGTCGTTGCCAACGACAAGGAACAGTAGGAGGAGGAGCAGAAGGAGGTGCAAGAGGAACAGGAGGAGGGTCAGTAGCAGCGGCAGAAGCAGGGGCATGATCAAGAGCAGGAGGAAGAGGAAGGGCACATACGCGGAGGCAGGGCGGGAGGGAGGGCGGGGGGGTGGGAGAGAGTAGGAAGAGGAGAAGGAGGAGGAGGAGGAGGGCGGGGTGGAGGAGGGAGGAGTGATGAGGGAGAAGGAATGTGGGAGGAGGGAGGAGGAGGAGGAGGAGGAGGAGCAGGAGCAGGAGCAGGAGGAGGAGGAGGAGCAGGAGCAGGAGGAGGAGGAGGAGGAGGAGGATGCGCGCAAGGACGATGAGGTTGATGGAGCAGTAATTGGGATCGACTCGATGCAAACCGAGAGACCAACCTCACAGGAGGTGTTCTTCGCAGGAGGCGGCGATCTTCCTCCTCCTCCTCCTCCTCCTCCTCTCCCTCCTCCTCTGCCTCTTCCCCCCCTCCTCCTCCTCCTCCTCCTCCTCCTCCTCCTCCTCCTCCTCCTCCTCCTCCTCCTCCTCCTCCTCCTCCTCCTCCCTCCACCTCTGCGACTCGATCCCCGCCCGCGACCCGGACCAGGCTCGGCGGCCAGCTGCTCGTACCCGCGGGTCCAGTGGGCGCACTGCCCAAGGCCGTCCCAGGCGCGGTGCCCTTCCCGATGTCGACGTACCGGTCATCGCTGGTGCGCTCCGTCTTCGACAAGCTCGACCTCGACAGGCCCGGGTCGAAGGAAGGATTGTGGGGGAGGACGAGGATGCGCAAGAGCAGCAAGGGAGGAGAGCTTAGAGGAGGAGGAGGAGGAGGAGGAGGAGGAGGAGGAGGAGGAGGAGTAAGAGTAAGAGTAAGAGTAAGAGTCCCAGGACAGTGTCCACATCCCTTAACATCAAAACGGGAGCCCCTTCTGTGCTCGCCTGGCCTTCTCCTTGGTACTATATACCTTAGGCCACAAACCTCTCTGAATTCGATCGAGATACTCAGCTCGGGTAGACGTAACCTGATCAGGGCAGGCTCTTCCTAACCCAACGAGCTGCTGATCACAGAACATACCACACGACGCACAGAACCAAACCTGGACATCCTGATTAAACCGCATCTTGTGCGAGAAATGGACAACTCCCCCCGCGAGGTGCAGCTCGACCCCCCTTGGAAGAACCCGAAGGGACCCATCAAGAGCAATCAACCTGAAACACGGAGAAGCACGCCACTTCCGCAACTCGGAGCTCGACGAGGACCCACGACACCGACGGCACCGACGCCCCGAATCGTCGAGCGCGTGCTGGGTGTTAAAAACAGACAGGGCCTCAGGACAAGGGGGAGGCGGAGGGGGAGGAGGAGGAGGAGGAGGAGGGGGTGAGGAAACACTGCTCCCGACTCCATCACTCACAACTCCGAGCGGACCCATCCGCCCCTGGCGCCCCGCCTTCTTCTCGAGCTCCTCCGCGGCCAGGGCGTCCAGCGACGCCCTCAGCAGGCGCATCCGCACGAGGAACGCCTCGTGCTCCACCTGCTGCACCTTGGCCCTGACCGCCTGCGGCAGCCGAGCCTCGCTCGCTGCCTCGCCCGCCAACCTGTCGGCCAGCGCGTTGCCCCGCACCAGCCACAGAGGCGTGCCGATCTCCTCGGCCTCCGCCTCGGAGAGGTGCGAGTTCACGAACAGGACCACAAAATGAGCGGGGTCCCGCTCCTGGAACTCCATGCCCACGAATGCCCAGAGCTCAGCCAGGTCCCCTTGCGGGTGGCGGTACCGCTGTGCATACCATCCATCGTACACCATCTTATTATCACACACATACACTGCAAAGTCGCTAGTCAGACGCGCAGCCATGAGGAGCATCGTCAGCTCTCCGCGCGGCACGGTCTGCTCACCAACAAGCGGACCCTGCAGCGTGGCGATCTCCTCCAGGTCGGCCTCCGACTTGACGACTGACAAGCCACAGCCGACGCGACGGAACCTCGGGTCACGGGAGTCGGGCCCCCCACTAGCGTCCCCGAACATCACGATGGGCGCATACTCTGCTCCTGGTCCCAGGCTGTTCTCGTCCGTGCCGTTCAGTAGAGCGCCTGTACCTGTCCACGCCGCTGCTGACGGCGGTGACGGCAGGCTGGTCCATCCCTTGGGAATGACACCCCTCAGCCAGAAAGCCTCATCCGCCTGGTGCTGGGACGTCGCCTTCGGCAGCAAGGCCTCCGACTTGACGTACGCATCAGAACCAGCGTTGTGCTCACATCCCCAGTACCTGTGGAAAGCGTCTTCCTTCTTGACCTTGCACCGCGGGCACCACGGGCTGACCTGGACCTTGGAGGCGGACTCTGCCCTCCGTGCCCTGGGCCAAGCCCCACCAGCTGCAATAGATACAAGAAGCTCCTCCAGTCGCCGTCCACGTGGCAGACTACGAAGGTACCGAAGCAGAAGCCGCAGTGAGAAATGATCTGCTCCCTGCTCCAAGCCAGCCCCACAGAAATGCTTGGCTGCCCGTTCCCAGAAACCAACAGCAGAAGAATAATCGAAATCGACGAAGAAGCCACTAAGATTATTGAGAGCCATCTCTGCGTTGTACTCCGCCTCAGGAAATTGCCATGAGATATCGTCCGAAAAATGCCAACATGTCGGTGACTCGGGTACCCATCCGCGCTCAATCAAGGTTAAGATGGTGGCCGACAACGGACCGCGGACCCACCGTGAACGATGAGATGGTGGAGGAGGAGGAGGAGGAGGAGGAGGAGGAGACAGAAGAAGGACAGCCGACTAGGTACCGGTCGTGGTTTGTGCGTTCCATCCTCGGCAAGCTCGGCATCGACAGACGGGGGGGGAGTGGAAGCCAGCTGGGAGTGGGGGCTGAGGTGGCCCAGCACCGGTTCCCCTGTCGTCGCCACGGCTGGACGCGTCTCGAGGCATGAGTCAGTTTCGGCACCGGGAGAGGTCTGGGGGCCGATGTTGTGCGAATTTGCCTGCGTCCCCCCCTCTTGACCGACTCTCTTGGCTCATCCAGCTCGGAATCCCCAACCGCCTCCAAGGGGGGAGGAAGTTAATGCGCAGGAGGAGGAGGAGGAGGAAGAAGGACGGCCGAGCCCGTTCGCTCCTCCCCCATCACCGAGAGAAGGCGTTCAACGCTTATCGAAACGAGCGGACCACGTCCGTCCACTGTGCTTGCCTGGAGGTTGCATTCTGTTTAGTGTAGGGCGTGAACAGTGGATGGCGACTCCACGCTTTTGGGCGACCAGCGCCAAGAGCGGTATCCAGACACCCCAAGACCTCTGTAAGTATAGATGCAAGTGTCAAACGAGACATACTTCCCTCTCAGAATGGCCCCATCGAACGTTTATGCAATTGCAAGTCCAGGGGTAATTGAAGGCTTGTACGTGGTATCGGAGACGAGCCAGAGCATAATTGTTGCAACTTGGCTCACCATTCTCATTGGCAGTGGAAGACGGGAAGGGCAAGGAGGAGGGGAAGGAGGAGCGGTGGGGGACAGGGAGGGGGAGGGAGAGAGAGGGGGGGGGGGGGAGGTCGGCCAAGCAAAAGCATCCAGCGTCTTGAAGATGTCTGTGGCACAGCGAAGTCAAGTTCGGAAAGCAGCCCCCAACAAGGCACCTAGCTGAACACGAACGCTGATCGATTCTCATGAAGGCGTTGCTGAAGTATCACGCGGGAGTTGCATGGCCCTGGTTCTATTCGGGGGCGGCCAAAACAGGGGGGTGATGGCTAGGGGGGGGGGGGGGGAATATCGTGGCGGGGGCCATGAGATTTCCCCAGATCTCACGGCGCCTCTTCTTATTTCAGTACGTCCCTGGCCCCCCGCTGGGCCGCGCACATGCCGCCAGTCATGATTTGCACCCCCAACTCCTGGACCCTCCCTCTTGGCCGCTCCCGATATATACAATATGATGTGCCGAGTTGAACGAGGATGTAGAGTTGAGAGCACCGCCTCATCAACTCGGCCTAAACCAGTCGCTGATGACACATGAATGCAAATCGGATGTTCCAATATGCTCCCCTGTCAGGCAGTGATGATTCATGTTCGCTACCTTTGCGACTCCAGTTTCAACGACCAGTAAAAAACATCACCGTCCTGATCTGGAGGCTTAGGATTGAACCGTAAGTTAGGCATGTGTGAAGACCTGGCCACATCCAACCACGGAATCGTTCACATATGAACGATGGCATTGGCGCAATGCGTAAAGCATTGGATCCATCCAGTCATGAAGCTAAACCGGTACAGTACAAGGTCATCGTGGTCGTTGTCATCCGCAGCAACGACATCGACCTGTCTATCGTGTCTGCACTCGTACTTCGAAATCGCCGCACCGTCTGCACATGTCAACCGCACCTGCGCGACCTGTGGCAACCGAGGGAGGACGACGCAGCGCAGCTGCTTACTCCTTGCACGCGCACTCCGCATTGTGAACACCTCCTCCTCCTCCTCCTCCTCCTCCTCCTCCTCCTCCTCCTCCTCCTCCTCCTCCTCCTCCCCCTCCTGTGGCCATTCTTACTCAAACCATTCTCAAGGCGCCATGTCGCCCCCCCCCCCGAATGAATGTGAACACCCGAATGTGTTGCGCACATCCGCCACCGCGCGTGGGGAAGCTGCGCAGCGACGCCTCAGCGTGGCACGACGGTGGCGCCGCATGGTTGTTGCGCTGCCTCCTCGGGGCCTCTTGGATACAGCCGGACCGAGGTATAAGATCTAGGTCGGTTCGGGGAGGGTACTCTAGGGTTCTTCGTGTTTGTTGGATTTTCTTATGCATCCTGGGGAGGGTACCCTTGGGCGTTCTGTTTGTTTCAGCTTCTTGGGCATCGACGGAGGGTCTCGCGTTCTTGAGGGATGTTCTTCTGGCCTAGGTCTGATTGTAGCCTCTCGGGAGCTGTGCAGGGCCACTTCTCGCCTCGCTGGGGAGCTCTGCAGGGTCTGGGGGGGGTCGTCTTGGTCGGGCGAGCGCCGGCATGAACTGGGGACCCGTAGATCTTCACACACGCGTAGGAGTGACCCTTCGCCGGAGTCGCCTCAAGCGCGGGCCCACCAGGGACCCCTTGGTCGTGGAATGAGATGTGACAGCAGCGGCCTGCGCGCTGCGATCCGGCCCCCTCGCGCCCCCCTTTTTGAAGCCGCGCACGAGAGGCCACTCTTGCCCAGGGCCACTCCTGCGTGTGGCGCGTGGGCGCCAGGATGCACGGGTCGGAGGAAGAACCCGTGGAGACACGGCGCCAGTGCCGCTCGCTGTGGCGACGGAGCGCGCCGATGTCGGATGCCTGGGCCTCCCAACATGGGGTCGAAGCGGATGGTTTCGGAGGACCTCGCCCTCCGCCGATGCATCGGCGAAGCGGCGTGATCCTCCGACCCCATCCACTCGGACCCGACCCTTTTTGGCCAGGAGGCTGCCTGGGGTAGCTTCTGTTGGCTGCAACTGTGCCAGCTTTGCCCTCCCCACGGGGACGGAGTTCTCCAGTGGAGCGCTTTCGGCAGGTCGGCGCCACCAGGGGCGGACGCGGGTGGGTAGCGGCTCGGCTGCGCGCCAGACCAGGCTGCGGGCGGAGGAGAGGAAAGAGCCAGTTGGAGAGTCTGCGAGGCACTGGCAGGAGCAAGGGGGAGGGAGGAATAGGAACGAGAGAGGACCCTGAGAGCCGACGTTGCGAGATTGCCACATCGTGGAAGTTTACGACTGGAGCCCTGTGTCCCAATCTTTCGGCTACATTTTTCTGGCCGGGTTGATTCGTGAGGGCCCTGGGGCCCCGAAATTGGTCGAAAACGCCCAGCGTGGAAAGATTTGAACGCCCGGATCTCGGAGGAGCCAGTTCATGAAGAGTTTGGGAGACATTGGAAGGAGGAAGGGTGGGGGAATGGAAGAGGAACGAGGGAGGGAACGGGGAGGGCGGAGGAGGATCACAAGGAGGGGAGCAGGATGGAGGAGGAGGAGGAGGAGGAGGAGGAGGAGGAGGAGGATCACAAGGAGGGGAGCAGGACGGAGGAAGAAAATGAGGAGGAGGAGGAGGAGATGGAGGAGGAGGAGGAGGAGGAGGAGGAGGAGGAGGCGGAGGAAGGAGGAAAAGGAGGAGGAGGAGGAGGAGGATGAGGAGGAGATGATCCTGGGCCCCTTCACGCTGGGGTCCTTGACATGTTGCTCGCCGGCACGCTCAGCCAGAGACAATCGGAGCGAGTTGCGGACGTTGTTCGCTGGCAGATCGTCCGATCACCATCGGCGCCAGGGGTGGCATGAGACGTCGGACTACTCCTCGGCTACGCTCGATGGATCGGTCGGGGCTGGGACAGGGGTAAATCGTTTGAGAGCGTTTCGCCGCGCTCTCCGAGCGCTCCAGCACGCTCTGGGAAGGCCGCGGCGTCCGAAACATCTTCCAGAACTGCCAGATCCCAGAGACCCCCGATCTGTCCTGGTCCGATGCTGTCCCTGTCCTGGCCTCGTCATGTGGGTCGGTAGCTTTGGGCTACCGTGTCCCTCCGCCAGCTCTGGCTCACCACGGTTGGGCGCAAAACGTTATCCACTTCCCCTTGGACGCCCTCCCCTGCGAGCTGGGATGTTTGCCGCATTCCCAGCCCCCGAGATCCAGGTGGGGCGACCTTCAAGCTGATGCGCCTGCGCACGGCTTAGCTCGTGACAAAGTTTCACGAGTTAGTTTTTTACGTGTGATTGCCGCCATGATTTTTGCGGGACGGGAAAATGACCACAGCCATTGCTTCTTGTTTGCGCCGCTTTCCAGCCGGCCGAAAAAGAAGCAGCGGTTGTGGTCATTCACTTGGTGCCAAGCTCAACGAAAATGGCCACAACCACTGCTCTGTTTCTGCGGGCTGGAAGGCGGCAACAAAGGAAAAGCAGTGGCTGTGGTCGTGTTCACGCCCCGTAAGTTTAGTAATTATTTAGATGCTTCGGGTCGGGCGAAAGGGGGGGATTGGGAAAGGGGGGGTTACGAAATTTGCTGCATGCAGCTGGTTTCGGCCTCACCGAGGGGCCCATTCCTCGATACATAGCCGCCTCCGGCGCCGGGAGGCGCCGGGAAAATCAGCTACGTGAGCTGATTCTCAAACCCCCCCTTTGCTATCCCCCCCTTTCGCCCGACCCGAATGCTGCACTTCCCGCTTCCCCGGGCGTCAGCGGCGCGAGCCCTTCCCGGCCTCCCCGGCCCGAGGAGCGGAGCGACAGGGCCCCAGCGTGTCGCCGGGGCCGCCGCCGCGACACGCGGAGCAAAAGTTCCCGGCCAGGTGGGGAGCAGGAGGGAGGAGGAGGGGGAGCAGGAGGGAGGAGGAGGAGGAGGAGGAGGAGGAGGTCCTGGGAGGAGGAGGAGGGGGAGGGGAGCAGGAGGAGGAGGAGGTCCTGGGAGGAGGAGGAGGAGGAGGAGGAGGAGGAGGGAGGAGGAGGAGGAGGAGGGGAGCAGGAGGGAGCAGGAGGAGGGGGAGGTCCTGGGAGGAGGAGGAGGAGGAGGAGGAGGAGGTCCTGGGAACCCCTCCACCGCCCCGCAGGGACGGCCGGCTCAACCAGGGGGAGATGCGGGCATTCGCCGGGCACACGGGGTTCCAGTGCAGCGAGCAGGCTTCGCGCGGCCTCCCTGCTCACTGCGGCGGAAGCCTCCTCGCTGGCAGCAGCAGCGACGGCACAGGAAGCAGTTTTTTCCGGCAGCCACGGCAGCAGCGACAGCAGCAGGCAGCGCGCCATTGTAGCTCAGAAAAGGGCGAGCTGAGACAACGGTAGTTGGCCTTCGGGGGGCCCTTTCGTCGCGTTTGGATTTGGGTGGGGTCCAGATGCGATTGGACCGTTTGGACCCCAGGAGGGGTCCAAACGCGACACAGCTTGGGAGACTGGTGCAATTGGACACTGGGAGGGGCCTGGGGACTAATTTTGCGCAGCCGATGTCTCAACTCGCCCTGCTCACGGGTAACAACAGCGGTGACAGCGGTAAGAGCAGCAATCGTGGCAACATCAGTGACATGCGCAGCAGGTCTGTCGATAGGCTGGCTGTACTAGTAGCGGTGATGTACGCGATAACCGTAATACAACGCCCAAGGCGGTTAATAATGCGAACACGAATGATAAGAATTGGAATTATCGTTGCAATAACAGTACTAGTAGTAATGGTAGTAGTAGTAGCAGCAGCAGCAGCAGTAGTAGTAGTAGTAGCAGTAATAGTAGTAATAGTAGTAATAGTAGTAATAGTTGCAATAGTAGTAATAGTAGTAGTGGTCGTAGTAGAAGTAGTAGTTGTAGTAGTAGTTGTAGTAGTAGCAGTAGTAGTAGTAGTAGCAGTCGTAGTCGTAGTCGTAGTCGTAGTCGTAGTCGTGGTAGTAGTGAGAGTAGTAGTAGTAGTAGTAGTAGTAGTAGTAGTAGTAGTAGTAGTAGTAGTAGTAGTAGTAGGTAGGAATAGGAGTAGGAGTAGTAGTAGTAATAGTAGCTGCAGTAGCCGTAGTAGTAGTAGTAGTAGTCGTCGTTGCCGTAGTAGTAGTAGTAGTAGTAGTAGTAGTAGTAGTAGTAGTAGTAGTAGTAGTAGTAGTAGTAGTAGTAGTAGTAGTAGTAGTCGTAGAGTAGTAGTAGTCGTAGTAGTGTAGTAGTAGTAGTAGTAGTAGTAGTAGTAGTAGTAGTAGTAGTAGTAGTAGTAGTAGTAGTAGTAGTAGTAGTAGTAGTAGTAGTAGTAGTAGTAGTAGTACCAGTAGTAGCCTCAAAGATGTCAGTGTTCTATGGATTTCTCGGCATTTCGATGTGGGGAGATTAGAACAGCCATAACAACAGCAGCAAGAAGAAGAAGAAGGGTAAGCACCCGATGAGAGTTACCGCTTCAAACCATACTGAAGACAACCGCGAAGCCAGAGTCATGCGGCGTGACTGCCTTCAGCAATTGTTGAAGGCACAGGCGCGCGATTTGTTTATGAGGAGTGTTGCGCTCGGGGGCTTGTTCAAGAATGGCTCGCTTCGCCCATGGGGAAGCGGTTACCAAGCGATGCGAAGCTATGCTAGACATGAACATACAGAAGCACGAGCAACGACAAACGATCACAAGCCGCGCTTTCCCTCCCGACATGCGAGACGGATATCGTCGTTCGTCGTCGTCGCCGTCATCGTCGTCGTCGTGCGCGCCCGCATCCTTCTTCCTTCTCTCTCTCTTGCGCTAGCCTCCTGCCTGCGCTGCTACTCCCATACCCACACTCCCCTTCCCCTCAGCGCTCTCCCCCTCATTACCCCTCTCTTTCCCAAACCTCCGATCCCTCCTCCCTCCTCCCCCTCCTTCCTCCTCCCTCCTCCTCTTCCTCCTCCTCCTCCTCCTCTTCTGCCTCCTCCTCCTCTTCCTCCTCCTCCTCCTCCTCCCTCCTCCTCCTCCCCCCCCTCCCCCCCGAACTTCGACAAGTGAGACCTCCGCCCTTCTGGCGAGCGCCCCTGCCGGTTCGCTCGAGCCGTCCACCCAGGAGCACCCCAGAGTGTCATGTTTGCTCGAACACGTCCTCCTCGTTGTCTTGCCCGAGGAGAAGAGGAAATGGGAGGGGAAAGAGTGGGAGGGGAAGGAGGATGTCCTCGTGCCGCGCATTTTTGCTCGAACGCGTCCTCCTCGTTATCTTGCCGGAGGAGGAGACGAAATGGGAGGAGGAAGATCGGGAGGGGAAGGAGGATGTATTCTTGCCGCGCATGTTGGCTCGAACACGTCCTCCTGCTATCTTGCCGGAGGAGGAGGAGAGGGAGTGGGAGGGGGAAGGGTGTGAGGGGAGGGAGGATGTCTTCTTGCCGCGGAGAGGAGGATCACCAGGAGGAGGACATCATGTCTAGAGGGCTCCGCTCCGTGCATCTGGCACCCTTTCCTGCTTGAATGGCTGGCTGACAGCTTGGATGGTCGGCCAGCTGGCTGGCTGGCTGGTCGCTTGGTTGGCTTTTTCTTGTTTTTTTTTGTTGCCACGAGGCTAGGGGACTTGCGCGGGGGCGAGAAAGGTCTCTGTGGACCACCCTTCCAGCACAGCTGCCGTGTACCGCCCAGCGACCTTGAGCACTATCCAGCACCCGACACGGAGGGATTGCTCAGAAGGGTTCCGCGAGACACACCCGCAGGTTCTTCCGTCTGTTCCGCCTCACGACACTGGGATGACACTATATCCGGCGAACTGCAGGTGGGCTGTTTTTGGCTCCAGTGCACTCCCACCACTAGATTGTGCGGACCTCCCTCAGCTTGAACTGATGAGCAGAAGGCCGAAACCCCAGTGCCGCTGTCTTTGGGTGCAGGGTTACCTCCAGTCGCTACACAGTGAGCACGAACGCCACGCCGACATGGCACGCCGAAGTTTACCACCGTGTGTGGAAGGCACCGGACAGGTTGCCACGTGAGCCGCTTATGAACTCTCTGCCCGGGAACCCGAGTCTCAGCATTAGTCGCTGCCATCCCGAAGAGCCGCACGCTTCACAGATCACCACTTTGGGGTTGCTGAGCACGCAAAGAAGAATTTCGCCCCGATCTGTTTCCAGGCATTTAGCTCCCGTATGCTTGCCGGAAATGGTTCCCGGACCGACCGAACGCCTTCCCTCCTCCCCATCTTGCTGGTGCGCGTTCGTCAGGTCTGGGCCGGGGAGTACAGGCAGCTGTGCTCCGACAACGGCAGAATACCCGAGGACCCTCGGGCAACGGACAGGTGGCCCTCAGGGAGGAGGAGGAGGAGGAGGAGGAGGAGGAGGCGAGGGAGGGGGAGGAGGAGGACGACGATTATGACGAAGAACAAGATGAAGAGGAGAGGGAGGAGAAGGAGGCGGAGGGGGAGAAGGAGAAGCCGTCATGAGCGAAAGGACAAGCAGCGCCAACAGGCCTGAGTAGTGAAAGAAGGCCTTAGTAGTAGGACGAGACCTAAGTAGGATGGTGAAGAGGAGGAGAGGGAGCTGTGATAGAGGGAGGTTTGAGTAGGAGGAGGGGCAGCAGCAGGAGGAATGCGGGAGGATAGAGGGCGGAGGTGGGAGTAAGTGCGAGTAAGGAGAAGGAGACAGTCAGACGGGGAGAAGGGAGAAGGGAGGAGGCAGGGGGAGGGAGAAAGGGAGGAAGCAGGACGGAGGAGGGAGGAAGGAAAACGAGAGGAAGAGGAAGGAGGTAAGGAGCATGGAAGACGGTGGAGGGAAGAGAGAGGATGGAAGACTGAGGACGGAGTAGGGAGGATGTCCCTCCTCCCCCCTTTTTCACTTCAGCCTCCTCCTTCCTCCTTCCCCATCCCCGGCCCCACGCCCGCGGGAAGAGGAGGAGAGCAAGAAATAAGCCCGGCGCACACGATCGATGCTGCAATGATCCATGCACGTCCCAAGCCCCCCCCCCCCCTTCTGTTAGCCGAAGCCAGGCGTGCGCCCGCTGGGAAGGTGAGGATCCCATTGGGTGGTTTGAAACGCGCATCAACCATCATGCTGTCTTCAGGGCCGAGCACACGAGTTTACAGAACACTGCCAGTTTACTTGGAACGGCCGCCCATCCATTCCGTCGCAAGAAAGGTTTCGGGAAAGCGGGCGCTTTCGCCAGAGCGTAAGCACGAATTCGAGCAGCATCCACGTCCAACATTTCCCAACAATCTTGTGGTGTTGGGTCCTCGTTTTGAAGAGACAGCACCCCGCGTCCCTCCTCTCCTCCTCCTCCCCTTCCTCCTCCCCCTCCTCCTTCTCCCATCCGCCTCGTCACCTCCCTGCGCTTCACCAACCCAGAACAGCGCTTCGTGGCCCCATGGGGAGCTCCACCGAAGGCTCCAGTGACAGGGTCCGCATGCGTCAACGCCACCCAAGACAGCGCTTCGTGGCCCCATAGGGAGCTCCACCAAAGGCTCCAGTGGCAGGGTCCGCATGCGTCCACGCCACCCGTGACAGCGTTTCCTGGCCTCACGGGGAGCTCCACCGAAGGTTCCAGTGGCTGGGCCCGCATGCGTCAACGCCACCCAGGACAACGCTTCGTGGCCCCATAGGGAGCTCCACCGAAGGCTCCAGTGGCAGGGTCCGCATGCGTCAACGCCACCCAGAACAGCGCTTCGTGGCCCCATTGGGAGCTCCACCGAAGACTCCAGTGGCAGGGTCCGCATACGTCAACGCCACCCAGGACAGCGCTTCGTGGCCCCATAGGGAACCCCACCGAAGGCCCCAGTAGCAGGGTCCGCATGCGTCAACGCCACCCAGCACGGCGCTTCGTGGCCCCATAGGGAGCTCCACCGAAGGCTCCAGCGGCAGGGTCCGCATGCGTCAACGCCACCCAAGGCAGCGCTTCGTGGCCCCATGGGGAGCTCCACCCAAGGCTCCAGTGGCAGGGTCCGCATGCGTCAACGCCACCCAGGACAGCGCCTCGTGGCCCCATAGGGAGCTCCACCGAAGGCGCATGCTTCAACGCCACCCAGGACATCGCTTCGTGGCCCCATGGGGAGCTCCAGCGAAGGCTCCAGTGGCAGCGCCCGCATGCGTCAACGCCACCAAGGGCAGCGCTTCGTGGCCCCATAGGGTCCGCATGCGTCAAGGCCAACCAGGGGAGCGTTGCGTGGCCCCATAAGGAGCCCCAGCGAAGGCTCCAGTGGCACGGTCCGCATGCGCCAACGCCACCCAGGACAGCACTTCGTGGCCCCATAGGGAGCTCCACCGAAGGCTCCAGCGGCAGGGTCCGCATGCGTCAACGCCACCCAGGACAGCGCTTCGTGGCCCCATGGGAGGCTCCACCGAAGGCTCCAGTGGCAGGGTCCGCATGCGTCAACGCCACCCAGGACAGCGCCTCGTGGCCCCATGGAGGCTCAACCCAAGGCTCCAGTGGCAGGGTCCGCATGCCTCAACGCCACCCAAGACAGCGCTTCGTGGCCCCATAGGGACCTCCACCGAAGGCTCCAGTGGCAGGGTCCGCATGCGTCAACGCCACCCGGGACAGCGTTTCCTGGCCTCACGGGGAGCTTCACCGAAGGTTCCAGTGGCTGGGCCCGCATGCGTCATGGCACCCAGGACAGCGCCTCGTGGCCCCATGGGAGGCTCCACCCAAGGCTCCAGCGGCATGGTCCGCATGCGTCAACGCCACCCAGGACAGTGCTTCGTGGCCCCATGGGGAGCTCCAGCGAAGGCTCCGTCCGCATGCGTCAACACCCAGGACATCGCTTCGTGGCCCCATGGGGAGCTCCACCGAAGGCTCCAGGGGCAGGGTCCGCGTGTGTCAACCCCACCCAAGACAGCGCTTCGTGGTCCCATAGGGAGCCCCACCGAAAGCCCCACTTGTACTGTTCGCATACATTTCCCCCACCCAGGACAGCGCTTCGTGGCCCCATAGGGAGCCCCAACGAATGTCCCAATGGCACCGTTCGAATGCGTTTCCCGCACCCTGGACAGCGCTTCGTGGCCCCATAGGGAGCTCCACCGAAGGCTCCAGCGGCAGGGTCCGCATGCGTCAACGCCACCCAGGACAGCGCGTCGTGGCCCCATAGGGAACCCCATCGAAGGCCCCAGTGGCACCGTTCGCATGCGTCTCCTGCACCCAGGACAGTGTTTCGTGGTCCCATAGGGGGCTCCACCGAAGGTCCCAGTGGCGCCGCTCGCATGTGTCTCCCCCACCCAGGGCAGCGCTTCGTGGCCACATACGGAGCTCCACCGAAGGCGGCAGCGACGCAGTTCGCATGCGTCTCCCCCACCCATGGCAGCGCTTCGTGGTCCCATAAGGAGCCCCAACGAAAGTCCCAATGGCGCAGTTCGCATGCGTCTCCCCCGCCCAGGACAACGTTCCGTGGCCCCAGAGGGAGCTCCACCAGAGGCCCCATGGGCGGTGTCCACATGCGTCCGCGCCACCGATTCCGGCGCACCGTTCGCACGCTTCGTGGCCCCATGGGGAGCTCCACCGAAGGCGGCAGCGGCGCAGTTCGCATGCGTCGCCCCCACCCATGGCAGCGCTTCGTGGCCCCATAAGGAGCCCCAACGAAGGTCCCAATGGCGCAGTTCGCATGCGCCTCCCCCACGCGGCCCCAGAGGGAGCTCCACCGAAGGCCCCAGTGGCGGTGTCCACATGCATCCGCGCCACCGATTCTGGCGCACTGTTCGCACGCTTCGTGGCCCCATCGGGAGCTCCACCGAAAGCAGTACCTACAATGCGGCATTTCGCAGCTGCATATGGTTGGGTCCTTCGTCAGGCTAATTTTGAAGCGGGTGGGGGTATCAAGCTGCCAGGTCTTGGTACGCAAGAAGGCCCGAGGCGAAATCCAGATTTTGAAGAAGAACCACCTTCAGCGTTTCCTTCGCAATCTGAGCAGATGGCGGGGATATCGGTTTGACTGGTCATGAACCATGAGGCAGTTTCAGGCGATGGGCATCTTTAAGAAACAACCCGCTCCGTATCCGCCCTGGTGGTGGAAAGCCACACGTTGAAGACGACTTCCATCCACCCGCGCAGCCGTTCGAGGCCAGAAAGAAAAAAATATCCGCAATGTACCCAGCCCCTTCGTCCGCGCGAGGCGGGTTATGGCATGAACGCTCCATACGAAGGAACACATCGCCAGATGTGCGCCACCTGCGCTGCACTCATCTCCGCCGTGCCGCCCACGAGCCTACGAAAGGGGCGCGGGATCCGCCCTGGGGGGGGGGAGGATCACCAGGAGTGGGCCTGCTGCGGCGGACCGCCCTCACGCGAGAGGTGACGCGAGGAGGAGGAGGAGGAGGAGGAGGAGGAGGAGGAGGAAAACGAAGTTGACATGAGCTATCGGAAGCCCGCGCGGATTTCCAGGATCGGCGCTGGACCCCCCTCCTGGCGCGCGGAGCGCGCCAGGGGCTGCGCCGGAGCGACGCCAAGGAGGGTCCAGCGCAGATCCAACGATCCGTGAGGACTTCCGAAAACTTATGCTTATGCGAAGGAGCAGCAGGAGGGAAGAGCACTAGGAGAGGGGAGGAGGAGGACGAGGAGGAGACGCGGAGGAGGAGGAGGAGGAGGAGGAGGAAGAGAAGAGAAGAAAGAGATAATATTAAGAATATGGTTATAAATGATAATAAGAATGATACTAGTAGTAGTAGTAATACTAATAACAATATGAAGAAGAAGAAGAAGAAGAAGAAGAACAACAACAACAACAACAATAAGAACAATAGTATTCGCACTAAGAATAACAAGAAGAAAAGAGGACGATGCAGGAGGGAGGAGGGAGGCAGGAGAAGGATAAGGAAAACGAGGAGGCGAGGGAGGATGAAGGAGGGAGAAGAAGGGAGGATAGGGAAAAGGCAAGAGGAGGCGGCCCTAGGGGGTTGACGGCGTTCCAGGGCGCTCAAGGTGGCCCAAGGGGAGGGGCAGAGGAAGGAACAGTATGCTGGATTGCGCTGTCAAGCCATCGAGGGTTCAAAAGCGAATGGCTCTGGAGAACAGGAGGAGGAGAGACGAGGAGGAAATGCAGTGGGGCCCATGCCAAGAAACACCCTGCTTGCCTCCAGGATGCCCCGGTTTTCTTGGGCCTCGATGGTATTCTGCGATGGAAAACGCGACGCTCCCGCGCCAGAAATCCATGGGCGCCCTGGGGTCTCAGGGTTGGGTTTCCTGTGGGAGGTCTCTTGTGGACTGGCCTCCACTGCTCTGCACGAACGAGATGGGCACGGAAAGAATGGGTACGATGCCCAACAGCAGTTCCTGTTCATTTTGAACAGGGCTCGCTGTCCGCGCCGCC